AGATATCTATAAAGGAATTTTGACTAGTCACATTGTTAATTCCAGATATCTACATTGAAATTCTTCCTAGTTAAAAAGCTAAATGCAGATATCTCCAAATAAAGATCTTCCTAGTCAAAAATCAGATTGAGATATCCATAATTAAATTGCAGATATCTTTAAATGGGTTTTGACTAGGAAGAATTCCAATTCAAGATATCTCTTATTAAGTTTTGCCTAGTCAAAAATCAAATTCAAGATATCTACAACTGTAATTTGACTAGTAATAAATTACTTTCTGATATCTACAAATGTATTTTGGATATCTTTAAGAAATCATGAATTAAAGATATCTGCAATATAATTATGACTAGTCAAACACCAGTTAGAGATATCTTGAATTATAATTTTTATTAGTGTTAATTCAGTTAGAGATATCTCTAATTTAATTATCACTAGTTAAATTGTAATTTGAGATATCTATAATTAGAATTACACATAGTACAAAATCAATTATAGATATCTTTAATTACAATTTCTACTAGTCAAAACTCATTTGTAGATATCCGAAAATATTTTCCAATGGAACAATTCGACTAGTCGTAATAGCATTGTAGATATCTCGAATGTATATTATGACTAGTCAAAATAACATTGTAGATATCTTCAATGCATATAATGACTAGTCATAATCACATTGTAGATATCTTAATTCCAATTACGACGAGTCAAAATTGCAGAATAGATATCTGGAATTGGAATTTTGACTAGTCAAAACTATAGTACAGCAAGTACAGCAAGGAGTATTTAATGCTAAAGCAGCTTGCCATACACGTTGCTTCCCGACCATGCCGTCTTTATATGACTAGTACAGCAAGGAGTATTTAATGCTAAAGCAGCTTGCCATACACGTTGCTTCCCGACCATTCATCGCGTGCCGTCTTTAACGACATGCGTGATGTCATCGAGAAGGCGGAACTAGCGACTGACTTCCGAAAACAAGAGTGTAAACATTTGCTGAAGCGCTTCTGCTATAGTTCGCCAGCATTTTTCTTTCTTTGTTCTGTCGTGGTAGTCCCTCGATCATACATCATACAGGCAGGAGTACTGTTGCCACAGCTCCACGAACCTTTCCTCCGTCTCTTAATTCCAGCACCATCGAGCTTCTGTGCTGCTATTGGTCAACGTCACCAATGTGACAGAACTCGACGTGGACAACGGAAAAAAAAAATAAACATGCTAGTCTTTCTGTCGTGATGTCGTGAAGCATCGCAGACGCGGAATCGGTTGTCGTCCACTATGACACACAACACGTGCTGAAACGATGGAATCTTGCGTCCCGACGCCCATTGTCGAATCCCCACGACACCCTACGTCAAGCAAGTCGTGGCAAAATCGGGCTAAAATCGTGTAGTCTGAACCGGCAATACAGTGTCGATCCTAGACTTTTGGGGGCCCTACGCAAAACTGTGTTGGCGGTGGAGTGGTGTATGAGTGGTTATGAACGAATGAATGAAACACATTTGTCCGTGTTTCACTCCATCTCGAATCGCGCTCGCGGAAAGCGCTTGAGAAACAGTGTCTCTTCCGCGGTTCGGTACAATTTCAACTCATTTTTTAGTCTTGAGCAAGACTGTACGACATTCACATTACATGATTTGACTGATTTTTACGTAGAAAGGGCGACAGCGCATCACATTAAAAGAAATGATCATTCATGTTTATATAACCGCTGGCCAAATTGCAAAACGAAACTAAAATTAAATCATTTTTGAGAGCAAGGGGGCCCCCTGGTGTTTCGGGGGCCCTATGCAGCTTGCGTATTTTGCCTATAGGGAGGATCGGCTCTTGCCTGTAAGAATGAACCTCGCAGAGACAAATGTGCAACTTTCACACAATAAAAGGCTTTATTCTACAAAAAAATGATCTGTGTATGTCTGTCTGTGTGTATGTATATAGTGTAAAAAGAACCTCAACAAACACAAAAACACTTAAAACATGAACTTACTGCACAGAATTATAGCTGGAAAAGGAGATGAGACCTCCAAAAGCCAGAGAAAATGAATAAAACACTTGTGCACCTGCATCTAACCATGTGGTTGGGTTTGCTAACTCGTTTAGCTGCAAACAAATACACAATTTTGTGATTTATGAGAGTACTGAATGTGTTAACACTTTTTATGTCATGAAAGTAAATCTGTTGAATTTGTTTGATTTTGACACTCACATCTGGAGTGAAGAGGAACTTAATGCCGTCAACGGATCCTTTCAGAGTCAGTCCTCTGATCAGGAAGATCGTAAGAACTACGTATGGCAGTGTAGACGTCACATAAACAGCCTTTAAAGAGAAAAGAGGAGAGGAGATCAACCTTAATTACATGTCAATATCATATCTAATAAAATCTGATGACAAATACTTTGGGTGTGGTACAGTGAGTTCAAACTTTATGTTTTATGGCTCTTGATTTAGAGATAAATACTTTGACATTCTGGAATTATAATCCTTTTTACTGCAACAGTTAAAACAAAACTGTCTGCTTAATTGTTCACAAGAGCTGTAAAGCTGTAAACCAGTTCTGTGCTGGAAATTTTTACAAGCAGGTGTAGGCCTACTTACAGTACATCACTGTGATCTTTATTCTTTATTTCAACATTAGTTTATAGCATTATCATGATATAAAAAGGCATAACCTTTGATAACTGTATTGAGTATTGACTGTTTTACTGGTAAAGCTGTTTTAGAGCATTAATGATTACAGATTAGCACAGGGC